TGCTTGCTGGACTTGCAAGGATGCCTCTTGAAAACTACTAATTGAGCAGGCAGGAAAGGATAGCCCCTTTAGGATTAGAGGATATTCTGTTAAACTCTTGCCAGTATGTACAGGAGGAGGTGAATAAAAGTATGGAAAGGGACACATAAATTTTAGAAATGTAGGTACTGATGTGGTATATCAAAGTCCAATGAGAAGCTTTTCTGAAAGTGTTGCTAAGCAGACTGAAATCAGCAATACTCTAAAGCGAGAGCCTGATTTTGTGAGATGAACAGCCCCATTTTCTGCCCAAATAGGTTCAGATAAATTAATGTGACTACTGGATAATTATACACTGCTTATCTGACTGAACTTCCAGTCCTAAGTATTCAGCATTTCTGGAAGGTTTGCTCAGCTATGGAAACCTTTAGTGAGACATTTTAAGTGCAAGAGCACAGGCAACATCAGCTGATAGAATCTGCCATTTCCAGGTCTCTAGTACCACATTAATCTTTTCTTCCTGGGGCTCCAATTTTTAACACTTTCCTCATACCAGGAGATTGATATTATTCTTATACTTAAAACAAGAACTATTTATGGACTATTATGGAATGTTAGTTTAGGATCACTGATGCACACAACTTTACTTAATTTCAGTGAAAAAGTGACATTATATGTGTATTTGGAATAATAAAGAACAGATTTAATTCCATGCCTACCAGCAAAAGCATGCTATAAATAATACTCTGCCTCAAGTTAACAACACTAAATTTTGTTTTAATTAAGGCAGATATGCTGTTGTTTAATCCTATAATATATATTAGAATTAATAAATTACTTGAATTTTCTTTCATACTTACTCTGCTTGTAGAACAGTATGATATTATTTTTAATATATTGAGATCTTGGAAGTCTTCTTGCTCTTAGTGTAGTCTGCAATTTGTAGGCTAAACAGATGTCTATTGAATCTTTAAATGTCATGACACTGAAAGGTAGGCAAAATTTGACTATCTTACTTTTCACTTTTTTCCTGTCAGTGCTGTACTTGGCACTGGTACCTGCTCAGAGCTTTGAGACTCCCGTGTTTCTGAATGTAGCTTTCAACACTCTTCAACACTCTTGAACACTCTTCAAGTTTTTGATTGCTTAGCTGTAGTGTAGTTGGGAGTTGCACATCTGCAAGGATATAGTGTTTGGCAAAGAGAAAACATGAGTATCTAAGTGCTGCCACATCTGACCTGTGCCTGTGTCTTTCTGCTCTTTCTCCCAGGCTGCATTCTTCCAGTCCATTAACTTCTCAACTTTCTTCTTCAGCTCTTCCCAGTCTTATTAATTTCTTTCTAACTACCCTTACAACCTTCTTGTTCCACTTTTTAGCCCATCCTTAAGATGCTTGTGGAGAATGCAGCCCTGCCATTTGCCAGAACACAAATCCCTTCCTGCTTTGTGTGAGGACAAGCATTGGTGTGGAGTAATCACCAACAGGCATCATCAAAGGTGCAGGAGACCTTGACTCTGGAAACCACTTGTAAAACACCCTTTAAGATCACTACAACCCAGGGACACTTGGTCTCACTGATACACTGGAGCCCATATATATCTGTAATTTCAGGAGTAGGGTTTGTTAAATCAATTTAAAATGCCAATGTTTGTTGCACTGAGATTATACTGATGAATATGTTATGCATCCATAGCACGTTTTGTCTCTGTTATTTAAGCTTAATGTATGTATTATGGTAGGAACTGGATGAGTCTGTATGGATTTTCAAAACAGATGAAAGAGGAAATTTTTGTAATGACTTGCTGAATGGCTCCAAACATGAAAGTCTCTGGACTCAAAAAAGCTCAAAGGTGCATGTTTCATCTGAAATAATGAAGTGGGGCATAAGCATGGAGCTGAAAAGTGCCTCAGTGTCTCTGCTGTTACAGAAACAGGCACTGTGGAAGGCAGGGTGATTAAAATTTTGAATTCAGTGTTTTGTGTTTCCCAAATTAAATGCCAGAACTGTACAGAAAGAAGTGTTACTCAAGAGGTGCAGTGAGAGTGGTAAAGTTTGACATCTTATGCACCTTTAGGCCACTCAGAGTGGGGGTGTGAATCCAACCTCAGCACAGCTGGGAGATAGTACTTCATGCAAAGGTAAGAAACAACAGATGAGTTGACGGGGGTCATGCTGCAGGGGCTGGGGGAGAAAACCTTTCCCCAGACCCTGCCAAGCAGCCTGTAGTTACAGGAGCTGCTGTCTCACTTGGGAGGAGAATCTGATGCTCCCTCTTGTACAAGAGAGAGGACTTATTCCTTCTCATGCTATGAATCAAACTGACCATTAGTGAAGTCTGTACCTTATTTTTGTGGGGAGCTTTGCTCCCGACCCAGTGTTTTGTAGAAGGAATTAGCAGGCATGATTCATTAATCATTTATAATTTCCTTGGAGGAAGGAGCTCACTGTTCATGCCTCACCATGAGGAAAAGAGCAGGGACTTGTCCAGGGTTCCTGGAGATGTCCCCAGCCGACTGCCCCCGGGGTGGTCTGGAGCTGTGCAGGGACAAGATGCAGCAGCATGACATACTGTCATGCTGACACATCACATACCCGTGATGGGGGAATAATGTTACCTCCTTATATCCCAAGTAAGAGTGTAGTTGCCATACTTCCTGTTCATCTTGCTCTGCTTGCTAGTCTGTTAACTTATTCCTCCTTCTTTGAACTGTTTGAAGATCGACAGTGTAAAAATAGCAGTTGGAGAGAAGCAACCTTAGTTGTAAGTGGTGAAAGAGTTTAATGGTGAGGAAGTCATCCCCCAGCCCTGTGAGCTGGTGGGAGATGGTTGTGGTTGTGGCAGAATCAGGCTGAAGCTGGTGGGAGCTGTCACCATGGCACACCTTCACAGATGCTCCAGTCTCTGGTGCTGTCACTCCTTGTGCCCCACACCCCAGAAAAGCTGATAAAGTGGATCGATGCAAGCTTTGGATTAGGCAGTTTATTGGATTGAGCTTGGCGAAGGGAAAGTGATGGAGCCAGAGCACAGTTGCTCTTTATGGCCTTTGTAGTGTCACCGGTATCAGGCTGTCACATCAGCTCCTTCTGTTCAGCTAATGTGAAGGCAATGTGAACGCTGAATGCACAGGAGTGCTGCTGGTGGGGATGCAGTGAGGCTGCTTTGTGAGACGTGATGTCACCCCACGCACAGATCTGCTGAAATTAGGAACTAGAGGTGCTCACTGTGGCATGGAAAATTATTCACACGCATTCAAATTCTTCACTCAGTATGTGATAACAGGCAGCCTGCTATCTTGCTGTAAGGGTTGTGACCAGAGCCCTATGGAGTCATGAAGATTCTGAAATATCTCTTGACATTAAGAATTTTCTTTGCTTCCATGGCTTGAAATGGACATAGTCCAGTGAACTTCCTTAGATACTGCAAGACACATCTATTTGCTAGTTTGTTCAGGGTTTCTGTTTCTGCAGTGCTGAAAATGATTCCTGGCTTTGCTCTTGCAAATTGGATATTGTTTTTCAGAATCTGTTGGACTATTATTAAATAAAAAATTGCATATTATAATAACTATAAGATTTAATAATTACATTTAAAGTAGTATGTATGATATAAATTTAGAATATGTCTTAAAGCTTTCTGTCAGCATGCCTGATGTTCTTACTTGGGTGATAGTTATTTTACCTTCAAATTGAAGTAAAAAACAAGATAAGATCAGAGTCATGATTTGTCATTCCAACTGTTATTAGTCATTGGTCATCAAGATGCTTATCAAATCACCTGCTTCTAAAGAACTAGATTAATTTTTGCTAATATGTATGAAGAGTTTCCAACTCTACCAAACTGCAGCCAACTCTGAAACTTTGTTTGGGTTGAGTGAATCTTACCCAGCTTCAGGCACTCTGGTAGGCAGGTGTCTAGTCCAGCCTAGACTCCTGGGCTGCTGCTGTAACCAGTGGAGAAGGCCGTGCTGGCAGAAGATGCCCACACTGCTTCTCTCAGTCCTCTGCTGTACAAGGGATCAAACTGCTGTCAAGGTACCCATCTCTCCCCACTGAGTCTAGGTCTGGACAAGTTCAGGGAAAGATGTAAAGCTGGTATCTTGACCAGAGCAGTCCCTGTAGTCCTCTGAGTGGGCACAGAGGGGACAACTCCGTTGCTGCAGCTTGGCTGCCCGTCCCCCGGGGAATGAAGCCTCAAGATTTACCCATGTTTTAGGTGTGATGTCTGAGCCCGTGGCACTCATTTGGTAATTTTACCGGCCCCAAAACCTCTTGCTTTCTTGCCTGTGTGTTCGGCAGCGCTTCTTCTGAGAAGCTCCAGCTTGGAGCCCTCCGGTGCAGCGTAAACTTGTTCCCCAGACTTTCTTTCCCCCCCACCCGGCTTCGGGCACCGGGCAGAGCGGTGCCTGCTCACCCGCAGCCCTCCGGGGCAGCGGGCCGGGCCGGGGGCAG